AGCCATTATAAACTTTGGAAGTTTACATGTAATTTAAAATCTGTTCTTCAACATATTTATTTATAGATGTCTAGAATGGCCTACTAGATATAGATGGTGTGTGCTATATCAGTATATGTACGGTAATTTATTTTAAACATTCATTGTTTTGGCATATAATTTATAATTGTGGAGAGCTTCATGTAATTTTTATTTTACTCATTTGATGTGTAGAGGGTATAACCTAACCGGGCTGAATGGCCTGTTAGTATATTTTCATATGTTGTTAGGAGCCTTTTATTTCACTAAAAGGAAAAACAGTCCTTAGTGAATGAACAAATGATTCAAGATGCCTACAGTACCTCTATGCTCAAACATATCATTGACATTCCAAGAAAATTAAACATGTTGGTAGACTAGAAGATATCTAAACCTATTATTAGTAAAGAACAACTTAGTGGATGCAAAGTTGAGAAACATTATCCATTAAATACTTAAGTCAGAATTTTAGAATGAAAGAAAAGTTTACAATGGGAAAATATAAGAAAAATGAACTTTTTTTTACCTTGGAAGGTGAAATAAGACTTGGTAGTTGAGAAAAGTCAGAAAAAGAGTATGTACAAATTTTCATTGTTTCTAGATCTACCCTGATCTTCAAACAATGAAAATTATTGAACCAGGAAAAATTAGAAATAGTCCCACTGACTTTCACAGTGATATTGTTAAAATAGCAATTAAATATTGATATGCAGTCACATCATGGTTGAGCACCGCTGTCTAGATCTAAGCTAAGTTTACGTCATCCTAGAACTTAGCACATTACACAAATTGTCTAATCAGATCAAAAAGTTACAAACAACTTTTTAATTTTAAACATCTTCTAGTAATTTAACTCACCAACTCTCATCATAAATTGATACACTTTTGAATATGAGGTGGTGGCACAAACAGACACATGTTCTCAGTTTCTTAACCATTATTCCAAACAACCTTATCTTTCAAACACCACTGTATATCTATAATAATAATAGGGCATGTCTGTTAGTCTGTGGGTGACTGCCATAGCTCCAGGAGGAAAGAACCTAGAAACCTAAAATCTTGCACACATACTAAGTGGACCCTGAGGGTGTGCACCTGGGTATTATTACTTATCCACGTGCGTGTGTACACGTTTTTTTAATGAGGCAAGCTAGCAAAAAACCATATAGAAAAGAAATGATTCCTTATATAACAGCTTCTAATATATAGAAAATCCAGTGCATTTTGGTAACAATGCATTCCAACAATAGCTTTTATGTCATGTTGCTTAGCAACAAAAGTATATAGGTTATACTTTTATGCTAAAATGGCTTCAGAATACACAAACTATCAACCTAGTAGCCAGAGCAATGCCGGGTACTTTAGCTAGTATATAATAAATGCTTATTAACAGACATGCATAACAAAAACTTTTTAACATAATTATTACAGCTATTTATTCATACTTATTCCATGAAATGTCTTGCCATGCTACCAAATAGGACTTGATTTAAAAACCAAATGTTCACTCATAACCAATCAAATCAGATTACATGATCAAGTAGATTCTATTCCCACTGCTGTGAGAAGGCAGAAGAAGAAGCATGGTTTCACAAAGAAAATCACCATAACACACAAATATGATTTTACCTTTTATGAAAACTTACTGTAGGTAGTAATACAACACTAGTCCTCTGCTGTTTTAGTAAGGTCCATGGAACTGGCAACTGCTACATGTGTGCTGCTGAAGCTAGAAAATCTGTCTTTAAGCTATTTTTTTACAGTGTTCAATAATTTTATTTTAGTCACCAAAGGATTAAACAGTTTAATATTTTATTCACTTTCCAGTGCACTAGTTGAGCAGCTCATATCATTTTTGGTGTCTATGTATACGTGTATTTGAAAGCAGTAAAACTTTTTTTGGATCTTAGGTGTGAATTTGTAACATACATGATATTTTTCATGTGTTTCTAAGCATTTACTGTACATAAGTATAAGTTTGAAATTGATGAGATGGAAGTGCTCCAATTTATACATTTTAAAGATTTTCAGAGCATAAAGTCTGTAATGTACTTAAGAAAGGCAAAATGATCTTAATTCTGTTTTTAAGAATAAGTAACTGTGTAGAAACAGTGTAGAAGTCAGCACACTTACTGAGCTGCATTATTAAAGCTTAAATGCCATTATTAACACATCCATAGAAATGTTTGCAAGTTTCGTAACTTACACAATATATTGTAAGAATTTAAAAAGTACTATGTGATTTAAATTATAAACAATTTTATCCTTTTAGATATCTTCTTGAGATTAAGATGGATGTGAGACGTCGAAAAGGAAGAAAAGATGCTGGTCATAAAAATGAGCGAAAACAGCACAGAGGAGAAGGAGGAAGAGTTGATAATGTCAGATATACAAAACAGCAGACTTGTCATATAAAACAGCCAGACTTGTCTGAGTTATCAAAGGAAGAAGAAAATAGAATACCAGCCAGTGAGACACTTAAACCTGTGCAAGATGCTTCATTTGGATTTTGGAATAACTTGTCATGGATTTTAAATTGTACGTGCGGTTGTTTAATAGGACTTATATTGGCGTGCAGTTATTCTTGGTACATGGAGACTCTTCATGAGAATGAATATTGGTTTACAAATATTGGTGAAGTAGAAAGAGAGATTTCATTCCGGACTGAACAAGGGTTATATTATTCATATTACAAACATCTGATAAATAGTCCAAGTATTAAAAAAGGTTTACAACAACTAATGAGAGACAATCTTACTGAATGTGGTCGTACAATAAATATTTTAAACCGTTTTAATATTTATCAGGAGATAATTCTTGCTTCTGTTTTCAAACTATTTGTTCTAAATCAGTACATTGAACCAATTTTTTTTTACACTAAAAGTGTGTTTGCTTTAAGTGGTTTTGGTTTGGGGATGCTGTATATTTGTTCGTGGTTAGTAAACAAATCTTGGTTATCTGCTATGTTAACGGCTGTTATATTCATATTGAATAAGTCTGATGCCACCAGGGTGTACTTTACGGTTCCATTGAGGGAAAGTTTTGCTTTACCTTTTCTTTTTGCTCAAACCACAGTTCTTTGTCTTTATATCAAGCATACAAGCAAACATGTGAATTTGGTGTTGGTATTTTTTTTTCTATTTTCTTTTCTCTTTGCTCTGACTTGGCAGTTTTCACAGTTTATATTGTTGTTTGAGACAGTAATATTGTTTTTCTTATGTATAGTGAAACTGATTCCTGCAGAAAAAGTTCTTAAATTACTTTTCATTATGTATTTTGCAGTTCTCTGTGTAGTTTTCTTACAGTTTGGCCAAAAAATGTTGCTTGGAGCTTTTGTAACCAGTTTTATTCCAGTTGCTTCGTTTTACATATGGCTACGCTATGCCAGAACCCAGCATCAAGGTCAGAAACATGTCAGTTTGTTTGCAGTCATCAGTCTAATTGTTTGTGTTTTTGGACTAAGTTTGGGATTAAATTGGTTGATCAGGTTCTCAATTGGCATTAATTCAGACACACATATCTTCAAGTACTTTCAAGACCGGATATTCTACGCTGAGTCCAAAGATTTTGAAGCTAAGCTCTACACATGTAACCCTGGATTTTACTTCATAGATACTGAGTTTTTTTGGCGATTAACTGGAAACTTTTTGTTCCCTTCTTACTTAATCACCATATTTTTGGTCTCTCATGCAGGAACTTTCTATTTCTGTAAAATTATATCTTTCATCAAAAAAACTCATGAAAATTATAGAATGTTAGACTTTTCAGCATGGCTCACAAAAAGACCTGAGATTATCTTTATTTCATTGTTTAGCATTTTACTAGGTTTTCTTGCTTGTTTTATTCTTAGAATGAAGTTTTTATGGGTGCCCTATATGTGTGTTTTAGCACCATTGGTGTTCTCAGACCTCCAGATCTGGTCCTTAAATGATTCCAAGAGTCTGAGATTTTTACTAGTGAAATCTGCATCTATGATAATTAAAGTTTCCTTCGTAGGAATTGTCTGTTACAAACTTTATAACACTGTTCAAGAAGAAATGATAGATCTCAAGGAATTTTGGGACCCAGACACTGTTGAATTGATGGAATGGATCAAGACTAAGACTCCATCAGGAGCAGTTTTTGCTGGTAGCATGCAACTTATGGCTGGTGTCAAGTTATGTACTGGACGGCCTATCACAAACCATCCACACTTTGAAGACAAGTGGTTGAGGGAACGCACAAAACAGGTAATATCTTTAATTTCTGTCTCATAACATTTAAACTTGTAATGTAAAAGTTCTTTGAAGATTAAGATGAATGTGTTTTGTTTGGTGTATTTATATGTTGTATTGAATATGTGTTTTGGACAAAACAAGAAAGATTTTGTGCACAAGAAAAAAGGTGCTCAAATATAGAAAAGAAACTCAGAATATGTATGTTTTTCTGTTGGATAAAGAAAATTCTCTCAATTGGAGGTGTGTTGGACCTTTCAGAATCTTTATTTATGACTTGTTATCCTACTATCCTCATTATTTATCATGAAAATAACTTGATGTGTCAATCTTATCAATTCTTTTACTAATTGGAATACTTAGTTTGATCATCTCTGACTCTTCTCTCTTCAAAAGAGAACAACTCATCAATCCCCAATTAAATCCTAGTATCACTCCTCTGAAATGTCTCCAGCAGATCAGTGTTCCTCCTTAGAGATGAAATCCAAAACTGTGCACAGTACTCCAAATGCAACCTAACTAGTGAATTATACAATCAATCCATGACCTCTTTAGATATTAAGGCTGTACCATGGGTAGTGTGAGCAATGTGTTTGCATGAGGCACCAACTTGAAGGGGGGCACCAATTGTCTGATTGAATAACAAAGTGAACTAATTGGTTGGGTTGAGGGGCATCAAATTTATGTGCTGCACAGGACACCATCAAACATTGGTATGGCACTGTTAGATATGTATTTAATATTCCTTTATATATACACACACACACACAAACAACTCAAACTCCTGTTAGCTTTATCACTTACAGCAGAACTATATCTTGAAGGCATAATAGTTGCATAAACCAATACCACAAGATCCTTTTTCTCATCCACATGATTTCACATATGATTAGTTAAATAGATATAATTGCCATTGCTCATGTGTTTATCTAACTAACCAGCTGACCTGTGTCTCTGTAAAAACACAAAAACCTCATTACAACTACCTAGACCTAAGTTTTTTTATATCATTAGCATACTTAACCAACTTTATGACTATGCTTTTATCAATGCCATTAATATAAATGAAGAGTAGTAATGGTCTCACACTGTTTCCTAAGGATTACCATTTACTTCCTTCCACCTAGTCAACCTTCAGTTCATTTAACTAATCTCCTACTCCATCAAGGTAACTTTTTCACCAGGGAACCCTACTATTATCTTTTTGTGAATCCAAGTAAATGAAATTAATTCTTTTATCCTTATCTAGATGCCTCTCAGTGGCACAGCATTATGTCTGTGGAACTAACAATGCTAGAAACCAGGTTTCGATACCCGTTTTGAGCAGAGCACAGATAGCCCATTGTGTAGCTTTGTGCTTATTTACAAACAAACCTTATCTAGATATGTAAAAAATCCTAAAACAAATTTCATAGTTAAATAAGATAGGATTTTCCCTTTCTAAAGCCATGTTAGCTGTTTGACAAATGTTAAACTTCATTAAATGATCTTGCAATTCATCTGTTACCAAACTCTTTAAAGCTTTCACTGCTACTGAAGTAGGAATAACCAGTCTTAATCAATCCATAGATGATGCTTAGCCCCTTCCTATAAAAATTGACCCCTGTTTAATGTTCTACTAAAAATGAAAAAAGTGGTTCATAAATCTGGTCCTGTAACACTGTAGGGTGACTATTATCATGTCCAGAAGCCTTATCTATTTTGTTAATTACATGAAGAGCAGGGAAGGACAATCTTAGTAAAGACAAGGATGGATATATTTCTTTAAGGGTATGATACATTGTTTATCTTTCTCCAAGATTATGTAATTCTGTTTAAATGTGTTGTAGAATACATAAAAAAGACAAGCTATCATACTGTTGTATTCTCAACTGATACTTTTCTGCACAGGTGATATGTGGGATAATCACACAGTAAATCTAAATTTAGCTAAGTGACTGGGTTTTAAGTTAAGAAAATATGTGGAATGGATATATATATGATGTAAAGTGAAACATGATCTTTATTTATATACAAAGCAAAAACAACACAGCATTCAGACTTGTGTAGACACTGGACTTGTCACTTCCTATCAGACCAGTAAATTGATCAACTGCTTTCTTTTCACAAGATATCTTTCCATGAAACCTATTTAAGTGGATGAGAAGTAGAACTCAGTGAATCCAACACTCCATACAAAACTTGAAATGTTTTATTTACCCAACATGACCAGTACTACCTATGTAACATAGTTAAAGCTGTAACCTCTAGATATCATCTTGTCAGAAAAGTGAAGGACATTTGCTGTTACTGACCTGTTTTGCACAATATGTGAAGTTGCAACAATATCCCTGTGGTCAGATAGATATTTCTATTACAGAACAACAAAGGACCAGTGTTAGGATCTTTGCTCTTTTTGATTTACATCAGTGACATTGGTGAAGGAATGGTCAATAAATTACTTAAGTTTACTGATGGTATTAAGGTCTTGGGTATTGTTAACTGTGAGGAGGATTCTGTTGCTTTACAAACGGATTTTGATTATGTGGTGGGTTGGGCAAACATATGACAACTAGATAGCTTTTAATTATATTAAATGCAAGGTAATGTATGTAGATTATCATAACTTGAATTATAAGTATATTTTTGATGTGAATAACTTTGACACTACTAGAAAGAAAAGGATTTTGGTGTTCTCATTGATCAGTCTCTTAAGCTAGTCAAGCAGTATGCTGTTCTAGTTATAGGGCAAACAGGAGATTGTATCTTCATAAATATTGAAGAGGATATAATTTTATTCTATAGGTCACTGTTTAGGCCGTGTTTGGAGTATTGCATTCAGTCTTGTACTCTACTTTATGAGAAACATTAAGTTGTTGGAAGGAGTTGAGTGAAGGGTTACGAGAACGATACCTGGGATAGAAGCTGTCTGTGATATGATCTATTGCAAGATGGAGACATATATGCAGACCGAGGGTGTCTCTCCGGGGATTCTGTGGTGGCTTTTGCAAATGACCCAGGACCAGCTGGGGAGAATTTAGACTTGCTTTTTCCACCTCGTTCTTTTAGCTATGCCTTTTCCTCCACGTTTATTGTGATAGTATGCTTTGGCTTATCACCGCCAGGAGGAGTTATATTTAGATTCTCAATGGATGGACCTCCTTTTGGACCTGTGGGGGTCTAGATTGGAACCTGTGATCACATTAAACGGATCACAGTTTTCTCAGATTCGTCTTACTCTCACGGCTGTCCTGGGGGTATTTATCTTTGATCCAACTTTTCTCAGAAGCCTATCAACGTTCCCCTCAGCAATTTGAGGATGAGTTGGAGATTTTGCTGATGTCTACCTCAGTCAAATTGTCTTCTTCAGTTCTTTCTCTGATTTCTTGGCTTATTTGTTGTTGAGATGCATTGGGTAGTGATGAAAGTGTTAATTTACTGTCTTCTGCCCTCAGGGAGTTATGGGAAACTTCTTTTCTCCATCCCATGTTGTTTGCCAGAGTTCCAAAGATATTGGAATCATGAATTGATTCAGCTCATTTACATTTTTCTTTATCATTGTTGGCTTCTCGCCTTTCTGGCGCTAATTTGGATATGTCAGCTCGTAGTGTTCTCGACCCTCTCATTCGGTTCCCAGGTCTATTGATTCCCATAATAAAGTACATCTGTATTCTCTAGGATCTTTGGCTCAGGTGGACCATCGACAATGGGGAAACAGTAGAGTACTTTCTGAACATCTGTAGTTCTTTTAACAGGGATCTTTGGGTACTTCATGTTCTGGCTAGAGGGTTGTTCATTCAATTTACATCACCTCCACCATTATCTGCACAACCTGTTGCCTTTTCACCTTCAACAGATCCACGGTGAGTGGAGCCTCGTTCCCAGGCCATAAAAGAGTTGTTAGTCAAAAGGGCAGTAGAGAGGGTTGATCCCATTCTTCCAGGATTTTATTCCCATTTATTCATTGTACCAAAGAAGACAGGAGATTGGCATCCAATCATTGATCTGTCGCGACTCAACCAATTTTTAGATTCTCCTCACTTTACAATGGAATCATTTCTCAACCTACAATGGCACTTTCTGCCAGGGCTCTGGATAACTAAGTTCAATGTTACTGATGCTTATCTCCATATTCCCAACCCCTATCAGGCTTCAAGCTATGGAAAGAGCCTTCAGGCTTTTACTTATGTCTCCTTCTCTTACTGCATGGATGGTTCACTCTATTTTGGGGTGTGGGCATCCCTTAATCACATGGAGTAAATTTATGACTTTGTCTCTTAAAGTTGACCAAAATATTGGTTCAAATCACTTATTTTCTACATAAAAAAACATAGAGGACTCCAACAGTAAATTACTGGAATTAAATGCAATATGGATGATATTTTTGTTTAAAGTTTTTGGTGTGATTCATATGTTACTAAGCTCCATGTAACCAACAAAGAACTTTGGTGCACAAATAGTTTTAAAAAATGTGTTTAAAATGCTAGAGTTATTTATTGACAATATGAAGTCAGTTGATAAAAATATTTCTCACTTTGGTAATTTTTTTTAAGTTTAGAACTGCAATTTTATAACATAATGAAAAATAGTCGATTGCAACATCATCGATTGCAAATGGTGGTTGGATCGGAACAACACTACTATTGGGGTACTAATTACATCACCTCATCCCAAGATTCATCTGTTCATAGACACATCTCTTCAGGGATGGGAAGCTTATCTTCAAGGTGAGGAGTTCCAGGGTATTTGGACAGAAGATGAATCTACCTCCATATCAATGTTCTCAAACTCCTTGCAGGACACTGGGCAATGGTTCAAGGTCTATTTCTCTTGAAGGCAAAAATTGTCATGATACATTCTGACAATTCCACAGTGGTATCTCAGATATCTCATCAAGGAGGCACTCATTCTTGAGACCTTTGTTTTCGAACCTTTGATATTCTCTACTAGGCTCATTCCCATCATATCAGTCTTTTAGCATGTCATCTTCCAGGAGTGATGAATTTAATTGCAGATTACTTGTCTTGACCCAACTA